ATATATATATATATATTTTGTATTTTATTTTTTACTCATCGTCTTTTTCAATTTTGACCAGTTTGATTATTTCATTTACACTTCTACAGAAATTCGACTTTATCGCCTTCCTAAAAGTTAATTTGTATTGAGAAGTTAATTCGATTCAGAAATCCTTGAAGAACAGTAGCTGGAAGAGCCGCAGTTCCACTTAAATAAGAATCTGCATTAGATGCATGAGTGCTTACAGTAGCACCAGTAAAAAACGGTGCTAAACAATGATCAGATTTTGAATTAGATTGCTCAACTTTTGATTCATTAACCACAAACTGATAAAGTCTTCCTCAAGCTGTTTTCCAAACTTGAAAATCACTTGGTTTTAGAGCATGTATTCTGGCGTTTTCATACGATCATATTTTAATTTATTTTCACCTGGTAAACAGAGTAGATGAAGGTCATCATTCAGAAGAAGATTCAAATCATACTTGACTTTTTGTATTGTAAAATTATTGATCCCTTCTGCCTAACAAGATATCTTTACGGGGTTAAAAGTATTCAAAAAGAATGAAACAGCGAATAAATTGAGTAGTCAGTATTTTAAACCTAGAATTTCATGACGTTCCTTATACAGTTTTTTCTTTCTCTACCACAACTGCAGTTGCTACTGATTGACGAAGACGATAACTATGTAGAGGCTGACAGTAAAGACACTGGTTAGACAAGGTACTAAGTGTAACGACCGGTTTAGTTAAGAGCGAAAATTCTAGTCGGCTGAAAGAATGAAGAGAAATGCAACAGATTTTTCGGCACGAAGAAAACCGAACTGAAACAAATTTTGCCTCTTTACTTCTGTACAACGAACTGTATAGAGCCATCAAATTTTTTTACCCATTTCCCCTTAGCTTTTGATGTGGTTTCTTCTTCAAACGCACGGGGGCATAAACAGAAAAAAGAACGTTTGTTCTCTTTTGTTCTCCCATTGGAACAAAAGAAAAAAGGGCCGATGATGAATAAAATCGCTTATTACAGCTAAGAACGCCTTGTTTACGAGCTATGACTCACTGTTTATAGCTGCTAACTTCTGTTGTCTTCATCGACTGTTTTTATAAGTGAAATTTTTCTCGTGATTTTTCCAATAGTTTTCGACGCAATTTACTGGTTGAATTTTTGAGTTATCTGTTGCATAAGACTAGTAACTACTATCACATTATCTGTTCTGTGTTCATTCACTTGTCTGCCCACTGTTTTGCTAGTTGTCCAGGCTGCTTTTTCAGTGTCAGCTGAATTCACTGAACAGTAAATGCTGGAACAGAACGAATTGTGCTTATTAGGTAATGCCAAGTTAACTGAAGCAGTTTTGTGAGACTCCTAAGACGACAAGTTTCACTCAGCGGCTTCTCAAGTCGTTTTTATTTTGTGAAAACGCTCTATCCCACCGCTAATTTGTCATAAATGGTGTTGCTTCTTCTATGTTGATTTAGTTTTGACCAAACATCGCCATTACCAAATATGGTTCCCCGCCTACACATTTTTCGTAAACTTTCGTTTTCAATCGATAATATTAATACAACTCTAATTTCTCTCTACATTTGTTGCCACGCAAAAAAAAAAAAAAGTTGGAAACTTGGGACTAAAGCAGAGTTCAACTTTCATAGTTACATTTATTTTTTGGTTTCTACGAATGTTCTTTCTGTCTTCAAGACACTTACTGTTCTTTCTCCAATCGATTTTTACAACCACTGAAACTGAGTGAGCATTGCTATTCTTCTTCCTGCTAGTTTGCAAATCGTCAACAGAATTACTTAGAGGTTTTGAAGAGACATGTTTCTGATGCTTCTTTTGCTTGGTTGAAAAATCTTCAGTGATTATACTTGTGAATTTGTTGTTCTTCAAGACATTGCGACCTATTCTTTGCTATTCGTTGCCACTGTGAGAACATTAATTGATAACCGGCTTAATTATTACCGTTATTATTCTATAAATTTTTAATCGTTTTGATCACTCAACCATTGTCCGACTGTTTGCTTGCCTGTTATTCAGCAACCGCCAGTGAACTGAATTTAACTGCAAAACAAACTTTTTTCAGACTGATCTCCCGGAGTTTGTACTCTGTTCAATTTTTACCTCACCCGGTCTTTGAAAATCTTGCAAATGTGAATGAAACTGATCGAACCCCACCGAATATATTGCGAGATTGATTAGGGGCAGGGTGGCAGTTGGAGGATCTATCTCTAAGACTCTCGAATGGCGAGACCATCAGCGCAAAATAATCTTTTGCTATGGGAGCTTGCCACGGCTTTCATGCTTGTCACCTGTGCTGGGATTTTACATATTTTTCACTTCTTCAATAATGCTTGGCTGCTACAGACTAACGGCACCTCAACGTACATGGTCAGTTTTAAACACTTCTAAAATCTGTTGTTACAGTGCAACAGTTTCATATTAAATTTTCATAGTTGCACATAACTGGTCGTTGCTTGTCGTGGCGAATGAGTTCCTTTTTCTTTTATCGCTTTAGGTGTACAGGTTTTGTTGTCTCTCTGATTTCACTCTTGGCACTTAAAAGTACTGCATAGTTCACTCACCCAACCTACTGTCGAACTTTCTTTTATTGTGAGTAGTATTTTCATGGTAGTTGGGCAGAAGCTTCAGCAAAGAAGAAGCTTTTAATAGTTCACCTGTACCATTCCCGCTTCAAACTTTAGCTCTGGTAGAATTGGTCGGTTGACCACAACAAGCGTAACAGCAAACCAGGCTTGAAGAATACGCTGTTTGTGAAAAAAATTCTTTCAGGAATTGATATATTGCCATCTATTTGTTAATGTGCAGAACTATTTCTTCTGTCTAAACATCTGTTTAATCAAATGATCTGAGAAATTAACATATGAAGTCCTGTAGAAGAGCAGTTGGCACTTGAAACAGTAAGAATCCTGAAATAACGAATGGGAAAAATTGGCTTTAGATGAAATTGATGAGGATTTTTTTGAATGTTTGGAGTTGGTCGCCGAACGAATGTTTTAAAGAATGCAGTCTGATGACAGTCAGAGAAATTTATTGCTTGGTTTGTGAGTTAAGATGTCTGCTAAATAGCGGATCTACCGGAACCAGATTTTGAGATATTTTTTAATACTCGTGACGACCCTATCTGCTATTACCACAGTATAGTTTCTTGTATTTTTTATCGTTTACAAAACAGTCGTTTTTTAATTCGTCCTACACTGACGAACTTGTATTGTATAAAGTGCCGATACTTTAGCCGTACATTTTCCACTGGTTGTTGAAGGTTCACTGAGCTATGCGACTGGAAAATAAAATTTTAAAGGAATAAATCTTAGACTGACCCATAAAGAACTGCTGTTTTGTAAGTTTTGACTTATAAACCCCTCAATTCAGGAACCTTTTTTT